CGAAGTGCCACTTAGACTATTCGATAGTTGAAGCAGCAGAACAATTCGACATCAAGCTTTTCTGTCTCCCGAGCAACACCACACATGAATTGCAGCCCATGGACAAATCAGTATTTCGTTCTTTTGAATATTACTGGGATGAAGAAGTTTTAAAATACTGGTCTATTCACGAGGACAGGAAAATAACCAAACAAAGGTTTGGGATATTATTTTCCAAAGTGTGGGATAAAGCTGCGACACCTGCTAATGTCAAAGCTGGATTTGAAGCGACCGGAATTTTCCCATTCAATCCAGATAGGATTCCAGAAGAAGTATACGCTCCCAGCATACCTACTCATAATTTCGCAGAACCTGGAGCTTCTCCTTCTGAAAATCAAGAAAATGGAGATACTAACGACAGCGACGCTACAAATCTGTTAATTCCTCCTCAGGAAAATGAAGATACTAATGAAAGCGACGTTACTGATGCCAGTGGAAATTCTCCTTATCCTCTCCCAAATGAAGACAAAGGTAATTCAAATCCATCAAATGATTCCTCAGATTCACAGCCAAGCCAAGCAAAGCGTTGTGCTGCAACTCCAGACAACGCCTCTGATGATCATCCACAGCACCCAAATCAACAAGATATATCGAACTTTATAGAATACCTGCCAAGTGTTTATGACGATTACGACAGTAGCGATCACATTCCTTTGTCCAAACTAAAGCAACATAACAATAATATCGAGTCAAAAACTGAATTAAATGTAGTCTGCTCCACAACACTTAATGAGTCATATACATCTTTGTGTCAAATGTTAAAAACTCCAGAGAAAACGTCAAGCCCAAAAACTGCTCCGAGGGCAAAAGCTATCAATAGTCTCGCACAGGCGCTAACAAAATCAATGTTTACAGATAAAAATAACATGTCAGGGCCATCAAATGCTCCTAAACAAAAAATAGAAAATATATCAGGCCCATTTAAAGTGGCTTACCAAAAAAGAAAATATTCTGCTAAAAGGAACAACAGTGAAGCAGTAACTCCGAAGGTTTCTAAACAGTCACGTGGTAAAGGACAATCTGAAAAATCTAAAGATTCATGGTACTGTTATGTTTGCAATGAGGACAGAATAGCAAACATGAGAATATGCTTTTTATGTGAAACATATGTCCATGAGGACTGTGTTGGATTAACAAAAGAAGATACAGATAAATTTGTATGCACTCGGTGCAGTCTGGACTAACCAAGACGATGATAATGTACTGGATGTCGCCTAAACAATATCTTTTAAATAAAGATGTATTAAAATCTAATGTCCATTTTTATTTCACTTATTTAGAAGTTATTTAAAATAATATATACCGTAAATATGGCCACATATATGGGCATATTTACCTACCCCGTCGGAAATATGGCCAAATTTCAATTTTTTTTCAAACTGTTGAAAATATTTCTATCACTTAATATCTTTGTATTTTTCTGCCTTCATCATAAAGTTAAATATTCAGTCTTCATGGACAACTACTTTGACTTGTTTCTTTTATCTTTATCATTTTAGAAAAAAGTTAAGAAACCTTAAGGTGGCCATATTCGACCTAGGTACCTTAGTATGCATGTCCGTACTTTATTGTATATCAGGTTTTGTACATTGTCATCATAATCTTGCATTGGTCTTCAAAGTAGTTATATAACATCAGTTTGTAGACTTAAATCATTAACAAAAGTACTAAAAAACCAAGTAAGGTGCATAACATTTTCCATATTATTTGTAGTCTGTATTGCTTTGAGCCTGAAATTTTATTTTAAGCATTATTTTTGTAAGGTATTCGGATAAGGAAAATGTTAACAAAAAAATCGAAATAGGTGCAATCAATCTATTTTACAAACTAATCAGCTCCCGAGAATTGTTTAACCTCCCGTCTAGCTTTACGCTTCTCCTAGGTGAATCGATATGCAAAATTTCTACTAAATCGGTTCAGTAGCGCCTGAGATATGTGATATTAAGTATTTCTCGTGTTTAAGTGAACCACCCTGTATATCCGTAAAATATGAAGTGAAAACTTTTTCATTTTGAGATTTGGAAAGGTCTCGGTCTACCTACGATTTTACTGTCTCCATTCAAGTACGGAACACCCTGAATATAAGACCAACCTGGGTTTTCCTGCTACTTCAATTAAAAATTGCAGTAGACTATTAGTTTGATAGCTTTAAATTTCCCACTCCCTCTCATGCAGCAAGTTAAGATTCTTTGGCGCCCGTTCCATCACGTCATTCTCACTACTCCTCATCCTAGATTAAAAACTAAGCTGCCGGTCCAAGCTCGGGAACACTCCGTCTGTCCGGAAGCGTAAAGTTCTATGAGCGTCCCATTATCAACTGCGGCCTGTCACGAACAGAGAGACGCCTCAAATTAAGGCATGATTGAAGTTATTTGGCTGGAATCATACCAGTCAGCATGGTTTAACTCCAGTTCTGTAACATAGAATTACCAACAACGGGCTTCTGATATTTGTTTTGGGAACTAAGAGGATTAGTTTATACTTAATAGATAAGATGGTTACACTGTGTATTGTTACTGATTAAGGAATTCGACCAGCTATATGCTGCATTCCGGCCTCCAAACATGGATGGATCTGATCTGGTTCTGTTATGCTCATAGATAGCTCTAGGATCTTCAATATCTTTTTTGCCTGTCAAACGCTTATTTTAATAAGGTATTGATTAACGTGTTACCCCGTAATACCCAATGAAAATAATAACTAGACTGGCGCTAAACAAGGGTTAAAGATCCAAGTATCATCTATGAAACAATAGCATACTACTATGGTTGGCTATACGAGGAGGCACCCAAAAATAACCGGAATAGCATTGCAGTGGGCGGAGCTTGTGTAGTACACATTTCTGTCCCTAGGCGTACAGCGCAACTCATTACCAGATCAATGCCAGCTGAGTTGTCGATCTGGCTTGTCTCGTTCCTCTGTAGTAATTATTTTTGCTAGAGCTGTTTCGCGCTTGTTTCGTTTTTGTACGATGACAAGCTTCAGTGAGCAACGTGCAGCTGTGAAATTTTTCTTTCTAATTGGTAAAAATGTTGAAAATAGCTTACAAAGATGATGCTATGGGAACAACTGAGGTGTACGTGTGGTTTGCTCGATTTAAAAATGGCGAGACATCGATTGATGACAAACCTCGGTCTGGACGTCCATCAACTGAAAAAATTCGAGAGCTTGTGCTATTTGGAGGTTTTAAGACGATTGCGAATCAGTGTTCGGCAAAAAGGCCCGATTTGTGGCAGTCAGGTGACTGGTTCTTCCACCACGATATTGCACCTGCACACACAGCCACCTCTGTTCGACAGTTTCTGGCTAAATATGGCATGGTTCCGCTGCCTCACGCACCTTACTCGCCCGGCCTGGATCCGAGCGACTTTTTCTTATTTCCACGGATCAAAAGGGGCTTTGACGATATTGAAGAGGTCAAGAAAAAAACGAGAGAGGAGCTGTCAGGCATTTCTAAGAAAGACTCCAAAAAATGTTTCTAGCAGAGGAAGCACCGGTGGGACCAGTGTACTAGTTGTAGTGGACGGTACTTGGAAGGAGATAAGGTTACTTTGTGAGAAAGTTGAAAATAAATAGCTTAAAAAAATCGGGTTTTTTGGGTACCCCCTCGTATCCAGGTAGAATACGCTTCATTTTTAGTTTTTGTAAATCTTATGACGATGGAAAGTTTGGAGTTAAATAAATAAATTTATTTTTTATCAAGAGGACTATACAATGATAGCATCGGAATTGCAATTGATAAAATAATTCAGCTGCTCCAAAATTGAATTATACCCTCCACACCCCCCTAAAATACTCGTTTTCAAAACGCTTAGCGCCTCATGTCGTACGGCAAAATGCTAAGCGTTCGGTTTAGGTATTCACATTGCTGTGCGAATGCTTTGGGTTCAGAACGCTTGGCACATAGTGGCAACGGTGCTTGTTCCAGTGTTACCAACATATTTGTCTCCAATGTCACCAATGTTATATAACCACAGAACTAAAAAAGTTTCTATTTGTGGCATGCTGCTTCTAGTGTAGAAACAATAGCTAAAAATATGCATGATAGTCTCTTTGTTTGTTTGTTGATTAAGAGGCATCAAAATTATGGTCGAAACTTTTAGCTGTCCTTTTACATGTTAATTCTATAGAAAACTTTACTTGCTGTATCACAGTTTGTAAGGAAAATATAGTTTTTGCAATCACATTCATTTGCGGTGAAAACTTCCGAAATGATCACGACCATAACATACAGAGTAATTCTCGTGTGTGTAAAATGGCTCTGAGAGTATATTTTCGTTGTATTTTATGAGTTGGATTCAGCATGAATTTGTATAACGGCTGCGCTATCTTGGCGACCAAGATCGTCCGCATGCCAGCATGTGATTTTTATTTTATATATTTTTTTGTGGTCAGAGTATAGGGTTTTGTTGTGATGAGATGTGTAGTATAGTTAAAAATATTTTTTTGTTCTAGACTACTCCTTTATTGTGATAAATATACTATAATGTATCCATTCATTTATTTCAAAAATAAGTTCTTGCTAGGAGATTTCGTATGTGTCGACCCCTCTCCAAAAAATTATTGTGTGGCAAGTTGCCCCTTTCTTCTGCCAAGGTGTCACTCAAGTTGTTACCATCACATACATCTTCCTGATCATTGTATAATGGAATATTGTTTTGTAAGCATAAGTTGTGCAAAACTGCAGCACAACTGTTTACGATTTTTCAACAAGTTTCTGGTGCATAATGTAAAACTCTGTCTTTTAGTAAACACCTAAATCTGTTTTTTAATAATCCAAAGCAATTGATCTATAGAAACCCGGATTTGCCTAATTTTTTTATTGAACCTTGATTCTGGAAGGTCTTGGGGTGGTTCTGGTAGGTGGTCAACCAGGGGCGTAGAGGGTATCCAGAGTCACCTTAAAAGAAAATAAATCTTTTAGTAGATCCAAGGGTACAACATATCGCGAAATGTTTTACATGTAAATAGAAGCTGCCCATATATTCTTCAGACAAAGTTCTCAGAAATTCCTCGACTCGTGGCTGACTCCATATAAAACTATCATGGGTGCTGCCAGGAAAGCGACTGTTTACGTTCATTATTTTCAAATTTTCATCACATATCTGCAATAAATAAGTGTCAGGTATGCAGGTTGACTTTAGTGCAAAATTTCAGTTGTAATCTATGCGGAGTCTGAGAAAATGATCAGGGGTCGACAGCTTGTGTATTGAAAGTTTCTTCATATGAGAAATTAAAACTATTTCATGTATTAATGATGCATGGCGATCAAACTTGGGGAGGCAATGCTCCCATGCCTCCTTCAACTCCGACCATGGATGTAAGGGTACCTTACCATCTGTACATTGAGGGAATGGTAATGTTTCCTATCGATATATATATATATATATATATATGTTCATTTTCGATTGGGCACACAATAGCTATGTGAGAGCAATCAATACAGCCTATAATTCCAGGTACCTGGTACTTTGCGAAAAATCTAGAAAAAAGAAAACCAATATAGGTACAGCCTGACCGTCAAATGTTGATCATCTTATTGAATAGCTTTGAAGAAACATAGTGTAGGACAACATCATGATAGATCCTCATGTATATTTATAATTCTAAATAGAAATATACCTTTCTCTGGTGCTGGTTAACAATTGAATTGTGTTTGGAAAATGGACATATGTATTTATTCTTTCTGGAGTGTTGAATGCTCCCAACACTCCATGTAAAGTTCTTGAAATCGATGGCTGGCTGAGAGTTACTGTATGATTTCTGCCTACATCCAGCTGGTACCTTCCACTTGCAAAGAAATGCAAGGCAGACAAGTATCTAAAACATTAATGTCACAGAGTCCTATAAGTACCTGTATTCCACATTAACTGAACGATGATAGTGATTTTACAGTACCCTAGGTATCTTGGAAGTACAAGTACTGCATTATTATTGTTACTTACCTTCGTGCGGTTACTTATCGCGTGCGATCTAGAATGTACTGGTAAAAATGGTTGTAATATTTCTTCCAAATTTTGCACGTCCTGTTTTCGCAGACGATATAATTTCACAAAATTAAAGTCAGAGTATTCGAACGGATCATCAGCATTGAATCTTTGCCTCTCCACATGATGTAAATAAGAATTCTGACAGCAGTGACAGCACTCATCACGAAAGCGATAAGCAAAACGCCGACCACTTGGTAGTCGTTTTGAAAGCGACAAGCGCTTCTTGAATACGCTGAGCGTGTGAGCAATGGGAATACCATATTTTGCCAAGTGCGTCGAAAGCAAGTGTAAATGACGTAATATTCGCTGAGCGACTGGAAAACGCTTAGCGTTTTGGAGAACGATAATACCGGTCCAGGACCCTATGAACGGTTTGCAGTATTTTTCGTTTTTGCTCTTTTTCTCCGCCTCCACTGGACCGATTTTCAAATATTACAGAGCATTTTCGTCCTTGGTTTAGTAGCAACCTTGTGTGGAAAAATCATATCTCATTTTGGAAATGTTTCGCTATTGCAATGCTTTCTCGCCAGTCCCTCATTCCCCCATGTCTGTCTGGTCAATGAAACCACCTACTTTCAAATACGTGTCACGTACATCTACTAAAAATTCTGGGCCTATAGTAGATTTTAAATATGCAGCAACTTTTGTACACTCTGGCATCTTTTGTTGTTCGACGGCTACGAAAGCCCTTCAATCTTGATGGAAGACCATAGAGTAGAGAGTATTCGCCAAAAAACAGTATTGGTGCCTTTATAAAAATGAATGCTCCATGTATAGTATCTGGGTTAACTTTCGTACGTCTTGGTATCTCCACTATTCGCCTGCTGTGTATAACATACGCTGCTGGTGATGTTATACGTATATATCTGGAATCATTACATCGTTGCGTGTCGTCGAGCTCGGCCACGCTACAGCTGGGGCACCGTAGGCGGTGCTGAAGTCGGATCGGTCCCTCCGTAGATAAAGCATATCACATGTTTACAGGTAAATGGTGTTGCTGGAGGTACAGACGTAAAATATATACGAAATATGTGTATATTGTCCTATCCGGTGGGTAACACTACCGGAATCACAACTTTCTGCAGAATAAAATGTATTTTACTGTTACCAGACATGAAAAACTTATGGCCCCTATAATCGCCAACCTCTAACTTTCCACCATTACAAAAATGTTTCTGAAAATAGCCAGGAGCCTCTAAAATTTCAAAAAACAAATACATGCATGCAACATTTTCATTTCCGTCTACCACCAGCAAACTACGGATCCAGCCTACTTGGCACTATTCCTTCTCAACGGTTAAAGATGTCCTCGTGATAAGTTTGCTAATGCTTATAAACACAAATAAGCTATTGAAAGTCGCGGCTAATATTAATCATCGAAAATCTGCATGCCTTTACCGCAGTGAGGGTGGAAAAATCACCGTGAATACCGGGTTCGTCGACTCGGGAGGATTTTTATGCTCGAAATAAATCCGAATCCAGGGGCGGTTTGCTGAAATTTATAGGTGGATCGCAACGTCGACTAACAGCCAAATTGAATTACAGAGAACGGCATCTCCTCTTTGTACACAAACACACATACCGACAGAGCAGTAATCGCAAATCGACGGCAGAGGAACCGGGGAGAGTTTACACTAACGGCGGACAACTAATGGGGCAAAGAAACGAGGTTGCCATATAGACCAGGCAAATTTTCTTCTATTGCTTTGATGATAATTATTGTTGTATTGGTCCAACGTCTCAGATTACCTAGTGGCCTGTAGCCACCTATAACGAAAATGTACCTTTATCACCTGGAAACCACATATTACACTATGCAGGGGTTTCCTTAATAATATGCAAATATTTAAGGGTGTGAATCTACATGAACAATTAATGTGAGTTTGCTGTGGCCTAAAAATAAATTTACAAAAACTCGGGGTGTTGAAGTTTTAGGAAAAAAAATGGAAATTAATTAATATTTTCAGAACCGGTTCAGATATTTCACTGACATTTAGTACATAGTAAAAGTCAACAAAGATGCATATTTTTCAATGTAAAAATAATTTTTAGCTTTAACAGCGACATGCGTACGGGTATTGACTTGATATTTCTTGAGAAAAAATGGTACGCCAATAGTTTTTTGCCAAATAAAAATTATTTTTCAATTCCCCGTTCAATTTAAAGCAAATGAATTGTTTTCCTTTAATGCGCCATTTTTGAGTAAAAAAATAAAAACCGATTTATTGGCCGAGAAAATTAATGTAATAATTGAAGAATGCAATTTAGCAATAAATATATAGTTGCTCTGGAATATGTCACTGGCTGTTGACATCTGACAAGTCTCTGTTATTCAAATCTGTTCGCTGTGACATCTTTTTCATTATTTAGTTTTTACAATCTTATTAATAATGGTGAATTATTCAGATTCAGAAATGGCGGAAATGCATTTCGTATATGGCCTTGCCGACGGTAATGGTGAGCAAGCCAGACCGATTTATCACCAGAGATATCTCGATCGTGCTTTGAAAGATGGTCGAACCTTTTCTAATATTCATTGTCGTCTTGTTTAAACTGGTTCTGCCCGAAAAGGAACATCTGAAGGTAGACCTCTAAGTGTGAGAACACCTGAAATTGAGGAAGCAGTGCTGCACGAAGTCGAAGAACATCCTGAAACAAGTACAAGGAAGATCGCTAGACACTTAAATATTTGACATCAAATTGTTTGGAGAATTTTAGTGGATTTCTTGTTATATCCTTACCATATTTTAAGAGTACAGGCATTACTTTCCGTTGAATTCCCAAGGCGTGTGACCTTTTGTCGGTGGTATCTTCAAAAAATTACACAAAATCCGCAATTTGAATCAATGATTCTGTTCACGGACGAAGCTAATTTCCCTTGAAATGCCACTCAGAATTTCCACAATAATCACTTGTGGCAGAAGAAAATCCCTATGCCGTAACCTAAAACCATTTCCAGCACCAATTTTCGGTTAACATATGGGCAGGAATTATTGGCAACCACTTTATTGGCCCATTCTTCTTGCCGGGACGACTTGACGGACAGACTTAACTCAATTTATTTTCTCCAACAACAGTTGCCTTTGCTGCTTGATGATGTTTCGTTAGTAATAAGAAACAATATGTGGTACATGTATGATGGTGCACCAGCGCATTTCAGTGTAGCGGTTCGTAATTATTTACAAACTGTTTATCCAAATCATTGGATTGGCCGCGGTGGGCCCCAAGAATGACCACCAAGGTCCCCAGACCTCAACAGTTTAGATTTCTTTTTGTGGGGCTATCTTAAGACACTAGTGTACACAAGTCCCAGTAACACTGTAGGGGAGTTAAGAGAAAGTATAGTTGCAGCTTGAGATAGAATAAAAAACACTCCAGGGATATTTCAACGAGTGCGCAATTGCATGAGAAGGGGGGCGGAAGCATGCATACTAAGTGAAGGGGGCCATTTTCAACAATTTTTGTAACCACTTCGTTGGTTTTAATGTTATGTTTATGTTGTCAGTTGTTGTTCATTACCCCTGATGTGTTTAATTTTTCCAATTAAATAAATAATAATTTTGCAAAATAGACAATAGAACGGTTTTTATTTTTTACTCAAAAGTGGCGCATCGAAAGAAAACAATTCAAGAAAGATTATTTGTTTTAAATTGAACGGGAAATTCAAAAATAATTTTTATTTGGCCCAAAAAACTATTGGCGTACCATTTTTTTCTTGAAAAATATCGAAGTCAATACCCGTGCGCACGCCACTGTTAAAGATAAAAATTATTTTTGCATTGGAAAATATGCAACTTTATTTATTATTATTGCACTACGTACTAAATATCAGTGAACTATCTGAAGCGGTTCTGAAAATATTAATTAATTTCCATTTTTTTCCTAAAACTTCAACACCCCGAGTTTTTGTAAGGAAATATTTTTGGAGCATACTTTACTAGCATGAGTAACTAACATTATTTTTTCATGTAGATTCACACCCTTAAATATTCGCATATCATTAAGGAACACCCTGTATAATAGGATGTACTACTGAACCAATGTAAATGTTAGGCAACTGAACAATCAGATCTGGAAAGCGACAGTTTTTACACCCTGGCGCCACTACAAAGCAA